TCATCGGGAATCAAATTCACCTTCTGCAGAGCTAAGTCTCCCACTTGACCATTTGGCAGTGAAACCTCCTTGGCCCGAAAGCTGTCGGCAGCTGGACGAATCCTTGAAGCGTAAGAAAATATAGAAGGAGGTCCTAGGGAGAACTTGATGGCTATAGATAGTGTGCTCGCCGTACGTTTTATCGCTTGCACTCAACGAAAAGGTGAATGACGATGGACGCACCAAATTTTCGACACATTGTGGCTTCCATCTCCATGTGAGTGAATGTATGCGTCGAGTTGCACATGACGTATACGCAATAAAAGAGCGACACTCAAAGCCGTTGTTGGGCGAAGGACCTCCCCTCCTTGTCATCATTAGATTAGAGTGCAGCAAGCCCAGCGGAAGAGGGAGAGAAAGAGATGAATGAAAGATAGAGAGGGAGTATGCACTTTGAGAAAAAAAACATATTGCTTTAAGTGGAAACCCTCAAAACCCTAACATTTTATACAGAGGGCCGAAGTTCACCACCCAGCAAAACCTCTGAAAAGTTGTCTGCTAATCAATAAAGTCCAAGTCCGTTTTGTGATTTTTGTAAAACGTTTGAACATTAATTACTATTGATTATAGAATTATAATAAAAGACTTTCAAACAGAAATTACTATACCTAAAAAATCTAACATAATTCAGATTTAAAATCCATTGTCTATTCCTAAGCTCTTTCTTTGAGTGCATCAAATGCATACACACATCGAGGCGGGGAGACAAAAATTAAACTACGGGGCGTTGCCTTGTTAGGATGTGCGTTAAATTGTAAAACACGAGGGGTGATATGGTGGGAAGTTTTTCGGGGAGTTGGGTGTCCTGAAAGGGCTTGCGCCCAGCTGGCCAGTGTTATCCTGCCTGTCATGCTGTGGCCAGCTCTCGTTTATTTTGCGTATTAGACGCTGCTATTCTGTGCTTATTGTCGCCATAGCCATAGTCATAGCCATTGCCCCTCCCTCTGTGTGGCAGCCATGCCGTGTCCTGTTATTTTGCGCTTGTTTGGTTTCTTCGGTGTGCCATTGTCAGCTCATTTGTAATTTTTGGCACAACGATTTCAAATTAAGCAACCGGAAATGAGCTGACATTTTGTATTCTGTTTCGTTTCGTTTCGTTCGTTTCGTTTCGTTTCGTTTTGCTCGCATTCAGTAGTGCGCAGCTTAACGGCACTTTTGCGGTTATTCGTCAGTATCGCATCCATTGGGATAGGGGCAATCATCATCGTCGTGGCCATCATCGTTATCCCTTTTGGACACCCTCCACCCCGCCCCCAACTGCTGCCTTTCAACTTGTCTTGTCTATTATGACAATATTAATATTTACATTTTACAGTTATTGTCTAGCCAGAGCATCCTTTTCCATCCAGTACATCCAGCACTTTATATATATATTTATATGTATATATATTCATGTTCACATGTATCCTTTCCCTGCTGTGTTTTGTTTGCTGCCACTGCTGCTTGTCATGTTTGCTGCCTCGTATGCATTTGGTATTTTCTTGTTTATTGCTTTATGTTGCTACCGCTGCTGGTCTATTTTGCCCCGCTCTCCAGTTTACTCCATGAAAACTGTGTCTTGTCAATATGGTTGCCATTTTGCATGTTGTGCATTAGTTCCGTTTGCTGTTGACCACTTTAGTCACTGTCTCCGACGGTTCACGCTTAATATTTTTCTCATTCTGGATTTTATTTTAAGCTAGTTTTATGTATGACTAAACATGACTTTAAACATAAACTTGGTTCCCATTTCATTGATTTCATTATGAACTCTGCAAACTGCTTTATAAAATAAACTTCGTTAAATAAATTCAATTTAAATATTTTATAGATTGAAAACAATTATTGCCCTTTACATTCTTGGATTTATTGAATTTAGGTTATCTCATTAATTTGGTTAGCAAAAACCAAATATTCTTAGAAAAGAAACAAGTGTTACATGAACACCTAACTAATAAGTATGAAAAACACCCGAATAAATTCAAGAAACTTAACTCATTAAGACATCACTACTAAACATAAAAGTTATCGGCTTAGTACTTAAGACACAGTGTATAACTTCTGTGTTATTTTGTATGTAAAGATATAGTTTATTTTTAAAAAACTCCTTTGATTTTTTTTTATTGATTATTTTTTTTATTATTACAACTGCCTTATTTGCTCAAAATAACATTGCTCAAATGTATCCTTACACAATCCCTTTATGTTTTCTGATAAAAAATAATTTCCCTTCGTAAACCTGTTAAATGAAAACAGTGCCATTTTCGAACTTGAAAGCTTTTCCATACCCTCAAAATTTAAATAAACGCTCTCCCGCTTTTGAATTCCTTTATCCTTTGCTCTCTGGAATTTCCCTGGCCAAAACAAGGACTTCGGCTCGGGTTTCGTCAAGTGCCGAGTGTGCCAGCTCTTTATCCTTTTTCTCTCGCCGGCAGGAAACGATTACAGCCGAATTCCTTCGCTTCCAGCTTCTATTTAACAGCATCGGCGTCGGGTCCTTCAGCAGCAGCTGCTGTTGTTGGGATTCCGATTCCTATGCCGTCGAGGGCCGACAGCTTCCTGCCGCTGATGCTTCAGTTGCGTTGATAATGTCAAATCGTTTGGTTCGCTGTGCTGTTGCCACCGCCACCGCCCACGAGTACAACCACAACAACACCGCCAAAGACGAGGGCCGACGAGCCAATAAATTTAAATAATATCCCATCACAGCAAAAAAGTAAACAACAAGCTTAACGACGAACAGAATAAAACAAAAATTGCGTTAGAAGTGGCACAACTCGGTGGACAAACAATTGCCGGCTAAAAAAGTGTCAGAATTTGTGAAAATTAATATTTCACCAGAGATTTGAGTGCTGCCAAAACAAATAACAAAAAAACCAAAAACTCTGCAAACAGGACAAACTTTTTGTTTCGCAAAACTTTTATTTCGTACACACGTTTTTTGGACCAAAGTGAATTGCTCGCGAAAATTATGAAAAATATGTGAGAAATGTGCAAAATCCACAAAATACTCGAGAAAGGGCAAAGAGCGTAACTGAGAGCCCCTGGCATAGGTCAAGCCCTATCCCCCAGTGCGAGATATATCCTGGTCGGTCCCGAAATCCCCTGACGTTGCTCTTTCCGCAAAACCCGCCCATTTTTCGCGGCCCACCGCCCATCTAGTGCCATGTGTGTGTGCGGAGGAAAAAGCAGTAGCAGCAGCCCAGTGGAGTGTGTGTGAGAAGCCGTGTAACGTGCTAAAATAAGTTAATTTATTGCCGGCAAAACAACAATCACAACACACAAAGACAACAACTGCCGGCAGTCATAACATTTGCCGTGCTCCCCATTTACCCAAAGGTGAGTTACTTCAGTTGAGAGTTGCGACTGGGTGATGATGATATCTGTGATTTTACTTCGGGTTTTTAGTGGGGCTCCTGCAAAATAATTTACGGTCTCAGCGGCTTTTCCCTACAGGGATATATGCCAAGATAGACGGGTTTTCTATTATACAGTTCAAAATTTTAGTTGTGTCTTACGACATCATGCACATTAAAAGAGTACACCCTTTGTGAATATATTTTGAAACTTATAGAAAAATTATTAGATCAGGTATTTTGTGAACTGTTTATTTAAGTTCTTTTTCTAAGTAATCTGTTTAACGGTATTAAAAAAATTATTTTTTTTCTGAATTAATTTACAATTTATTGGTTTTTCCTAATAAAAACATTTTTGAATGAAGCTAACTACAAAATAGGTGTTTCGTTTATTAGTTTTACAACTTCAATATAAAATACATCGAATTTATTCTAGTAATCAAATATAATTGAAGCAATTGAAAAATCAATTTTATATCCGCAATTTGACAATTTCCCTTCATAAAAAGAAATGTGCTTCTTTTAAAAAGGTCAGCAAGTAATTCAACGACTAAAAATGGGCTATGTATGAAATTTTAAGTAAAATTTAATTGGCAAGTTGTGGATTATTACGCGGTGGATGTTAACCGACAAAATAAATCAATTCAAGAGATTTTTTTTGGCTACTGCCAATACAAGTAACGCCAGTCATTTAATTTGTTTAAAAAAGCACCATCTAATTACCTGATTAAGCAGATATTTGATTTTTTTTATTTTATTTATAATATTCCAAAGAAAAAGTGAATTGATATTTTTTTAATCTAAAATTTTTTAGAAGTGCCTTTATTATTAAAGTACCTAAATAAACATGTATAATTACCAATTATAAAACTCTTTTTATAATTGTATAATTCCAGTTAAACATTTTAAATGCTTTTGATCCTAAATAGTGTTGAACGCTTTATTTTTGTCAGTTGGAATTAAACAATAAATCCTTATTTATTTGATTTTAACATCCAAAACCATTTCCATTTGTGTTTCAGCCAATACTTAATTAGCAGTTTGCGAGCGAAATAATTTGGAGGTTTAATTAAAAATCAAAATTATGGTCAGCAGGGCACCAATTTGTTTTAAACTAGGGCAGGTTTTAAACCAAAATATTTGGTTGACTCTTACCCGTAGAGCGTTGTCAAAAAGTTCGTACAATTGACCTGTCTTCGCTATTCAAGCGTGGCTAAAAAATACAACCGAATGGTTGAACAAAAACTGTCAGATCCATGACCTACATAAGTACGTCGTGTAACCAAATAGATTGGAAGGTTTTCGCACGCATATTTTGTTTTTCCTAAGCATTTTTTGTCCAGCACCGCCCTCGCGTTCGCTTCGTATGCAAAACCAAAACAAGCAGCTTTCAGATTTTACCCATTTTTCCATTGTTTTGCCGGCCTCTGCCAATGGAAACTTTTCCCTGTCCATTTTTTGTTTTTTCTTTTTTTGATTTTCTTGCGGGCTAGCTAACAAAAGTTCGAATGTTAAATGATTTCCATGGCGCAAACTGTGTGGCAACCCTAAAACTGGAGTTCGGTCATTTGTTAGCCTGTCAGAATGGCAAAAAAAATGGCAGAAAATAAAACTGGAAGAAATAACTCTGGCTGACACGTGAATTTATTGCATTCAAAACTATGAAAAGTTCCATCAAAAGTGCAACAACAGGATAGATACTACAGGGTATACTAGTAAAGGGGCCCGAAACAACCCCACTCCCAGCAATTGCGGCAGTTGTTGGGCACAAAATAGAAGGGCGGGGCACAGCCGCTGCCGCAGCATCCGCAGTTGCAGGTGCAGCTGCATTTCATGCAGGGCAGAACGGGTCCCACGGGGCCGCAGCTCAGGCGGTACGAGACGACGGCACAGGGCCCACAGCCACAGCATCCGCCGCAGGACCCCCCACAGGACCCGCCGCAGGACCCACCAGATCGGCAGTAACCGCTGCCGCAGCAGGTACCACCTGATCCGCAGCAGCCACCACCGCCGCAGGGCCTACAGCAGGATCCACAGCCACCACCGGAGGGTCCACAGCGCGGTGGACATCGCGGAGCCGCACAACTCATCCCAGAAGATGTCCCAGAAGTCCTTGACAACCTGTTGCTAAATTCTTGCCGCAAAAAAGAGTGCTAAATACTCCGGGGCAATGACGGTAGTCGACCACTCACAGCTCCAGGCGCCTATTTAGCACCTTTTTGTCCGCCAATCGTCGCAAAAAGCACTTAGAAAATTTGGCAATTGTTGTGGAATAAAAACTTTTGCAGCGTCGTTAAATATGTCTTGAAAAAATGACAAGTGGGGCAAAGACACAGGTGGAACATTCCCGAATATTAGAGCAATAATTTATTACCAATATTAGGGATTATACACTGATAGTTCTCAAAAAGTTTTGATTACCTTTAACATGAAATGTTAAATGTCATTTTACAACTATAAGGCCAGTTTTCTAAAATTCTCAGCAATTTTTTTATTTTATCCCATTACTTTTAGAATACTGACTTTAATAATCCCTAGCTAAACGACTACACTAGACTAAAAATTATATTGGCCTCTGATCTCATTTAAGTCCCACATATGCCAGCTCAGAAAACCTAACCGGAACCACCAAACCTCTGCCGTATTTCCTCTGAGTACTATTTGCACAGTCGACCATGCGTGGGCTTGTCTATTAGATCCTCTTGCCCAGCCACGCCCCCTTTTACGAGAGGGTCTGGTCTGGCGGATACTAATGTAATTGATTGTGTCCGCCTGGTTGAATTGGAGCTTGAATGGAGTGTCCTGGATGGGAGCGGGAAAAAGTTTCACAACGGTTCGTTATCCGCCGGATAGATATTTGCATTGCCAACTGTGCAGTTGCAAATGGGTAGCAGAAATAATGGAATTATGAAATTGAACAAGTACTAGGCGCACTTTGAACTGGTGGAAAAAAAAAGTAGTGACTTGTTGTAAATGTATGCATGATTAATTTATGTAGTATTTAAAATCGATAGAAGTCTCTTAAAAAATATTTATATAAAATGAATTATTTTGTTGGTAAACCAAACCTTGAAAAATGCTAAAATCTTCATAAATTCTGGTACATCCGCAAGAGATTTTGAGTAATCACACTAAATAAATTAGCAACTCCTAACATTCGCAGAGTAATTATGCCAAATGAAAAAAGTATACTGCTTCATTATGTTCTTTATAGTTCGGTTCCTCCACTCGTGCCCCATGGTGCCAGCCACTTTCATATTCCGATTTAGACAGTCTTCCATTTTAGGCCAGATTTTCAAAGCAAAGGCAGCCCGAGGGCGGCGTCGATGAGATTGTCAACAGCTGTCAGAGCGGAAAATCGCCTTTGGTCCCTGGTCGGACAGTCAACTTCAGTTCGTTTTCCACTTCGGCACCAAGCACTCGATATTGTGTCTGCTCCAGGCAAAAACTAAACCCCTCCGAAGAGAAAAATTCTCGTGTAGTAGAGTTTTGGAAAGCCAAGATGTGTGGTGGCTGGGCCTGTGCTTCCTACAACATCGCCTGCTGCAATCCGCGGCTGTCGACACTGCGATTCACGGGTCGCTGTTTCGCACCCACGCCATGTGGTCCATGTAACGACTGCTCCGCCTGCGGAGGTTGTTGCGGCGGCTGCTGCTGATGATGGTCGAGGTTGGGATCAGTATCAGTCCTGGAGTGGCCACAGAGTCGAGAGGCAGGCAAAACTTCTAGTTCCAAGTAGGCTGACAGCTTCCCATTGTCAACCATGAAATAAAAACATTTCAGTCCATGTCCTGTAGTTGTCGGAACAACATCTTACACCAAATTTTCCAGCGGGGTGAGTTTTTAGTTTATTTTTTGTTTAATATTCAACTGAAGATTTTATAGTTTTTTAATACAATCGCTTTCCCATCCAGTTTCTGCCTCCATATCGTAATCATGTGCGGTGGCTGGGCTTGTGCCTCTTACGATCTGGCCTGCAATAATCCACCTCTATCCACCCTGCGTTTCACTGGCCGAGACTTCATACCCACACCGTGCGGTCCTTGCGATAAGTGTTATGTCCTTGATACCAGCCGCAAGAAGAACACCAACAACTGTTATGTGCCGCACATCCTATCCCCGCTGGAAGCCCAGCTCTGCACATTGGACAGCAGTCAGAATAAGGAAAATAGTTAAACATTGGGATAGACATGCACTTTCAAAATCTTAGTGATGGGACTAACTAAATATAAATGCTGCTTTTGTAAAAAAAAAGTAATCCCAGCGTGAACATCTTTTTGGTAGTGGGCAATTAAATAGATGAAATTGGTCAAATTTTACAGATTTCTAGATGTCTAAAAATGTCTAAGGAAAATAATTTATTTAATCAAATATTTCGAATACAAAAAATATAAATGCTGCTTTTGGAAAAAAAAAAGTAATCCCAGCGTGAACATCTTTTTGGTAGTGGGCAATTAAAATTAAAAAATGGTTTTATAGAGCTAACAAACGTTTCATGATAAATCAAAAAAATTAGTGTGGCGTATGTCAAATAATATTCACTATGCAAATATACTTTTAATCCAGTATTATTAATTTTATTGTTTTACTTGTCTTCATTTTTTAACCAAAAGCACAAAAAAATTCCACATCACTTCCTATTCGGTCGGTTTTCCTAGACTCTGTTCTATTTTAAGGGACGCTCAGTAGAAGGGCCCGAAGCAGCCCCATTCACCGGCGCAACAACACCTGTTGGGCGGACAAGTCCAGGGACCACAGGGCGGATTGGGGCCGCAGCAGCAGTTGTTGTAGTTCATGGCTGGCAGGGCGGGTCCAACGGGTCCGTATGCCAGGGCATAAGACACCGATCCACAGGCTCCTTGGCAGCACATCTTAAAGGATCTATAAGGGCGAAAAATTAGCTAAAATCCATGGAAATTAACAGAACTTACAGTAAGTTTCAGACAAGATTTTGAATTTTTTTTGAACACGGAATTTTTTGGAGCTTTTGGTTTATGTACTGGTGAAACCGTACGAGCTGTGTACAAGACAAGTGATTGGACTGGAATGAGCCGACTTCAGAATAAGGGATCCGAACTCAGGGAACTTTTTTTCGGGGCCCACTAGATGTGTAAAGAAATTTAAAACCAGCCACCAGTAAGGCAGAATGAAAATCAAAGTGGGCTTTGAGAAACTGCCTTAAAAATCGATCAAAGTCAAGTTGTTGATGCTGCTCTCCTCCTGGCGTAGCTCACAAATTTCACACACCAATGACTTAACGTCGGAGCGACAAATAAAAAAAATTGAATTTCTCTAACGACAAAACAGAACTGCGCAACAGATTCGCCCCTCTGGCAAAAATAAGAAATCATTGAAAAATGTCTAAAAAAAAAAAAAACAAGAACTGTGGGGAGAATAACACCAGTAAAATGTCGGAGATAGGGAACAAGATGGCGAAAGGATTTTTCGCAGGACTTGCTGTAAACTGGGGCAACGGCGATGTCGAGGCAGACATGAAAGTCTATTAGACTCAACGAAGCAACCTTAACGTCATTTTCCAGCTTCCTTCGGTTTTCGGGGGGCTAATGTTGGGGCATGTGTGTGTGGGTTGTGTGTGTGCGGGCCAGGATATAGGATACAGGACCTCGTGTGCGTCTGCGGGCGTTGTGATTCACAAAAGCTGACAAGCTCATCGATCCCTGAACATTAGCTAAACATAAATTACACAGATGACTGCACAACAATTGAGGCGTTTATTATAATGTGTGTTCACACTTGAGGCTTTCAAAAGATGCACTCACAGCAAAACAGAGAGACCTTGGCGAGGGTGTATCGGAAAACGATGGAAGATTTAACTTTTCCAATGAAATTCTCTTGGCTTGAGTAAAGTATTAAATCTATTACTAAATGACTTAAGTATTCAGTCGTAAAAAGCCATTGTTTAAGTTGGTAAATTTTTTTACGATATAATTATCTCAATTTTAATATTAATAATTGAAATCGGTGTTTACTAAAAATTTTAAATCGAATTTGATCATTTCGAGAATGGTTTCACAATGATATATAGGATTTAAATTGAACTTGTGTTTCTCTTTATGTTTTCACTTCACTTGTAAGGTTTCATCTTAGTTTGTAACTTTTCTTACCATTTTTTTTTTGTTGTTCAAAAGAAACTTCTTCCAAAAGTCTTTACTATTTATATCGACAATGAATCTTGTCCTATTTGGCCTCCTATTTGGGCACATAATTTATTCATTCAACTTCTTTAAAAAGCAATTTACATCGATTTACCTAACAACCCGCTGTTAGAGAAAAGGAAAAACCACAGACCCCCCAGACAGTTAAAAACTATTGCGAAACTCATTTCTTTGCCATACAGACGCAAAAAAGGAAACACGACTTCGAGACTGCAGTTGAGGGCTCTCCACCTTCCTTCGAGCCGAAAAACAACACCCCACTTAAGATAATCTCATTGGTAGCATGCCAAAATGCTATCCAAAAGCACACAAACACACAGAGTATAAAAATGTCACCACACAAAAAAGGAAACACCAAGGAAAAAGAAAAACAGCAGGGTAAACAGGAGAGGCTTCAGCTAAAAAAGGTATTTCCTTTTAAATCAAATACAAAAATTTCTGCCGGGATTCCATTGCCACTGCCCCTTGGTCGTCGTCCTCCTCCCCCTTTCTTTTTTCCAAGTGGACACGATGGGCACTTCATTTCACTCCAAAAACATATTGAGCCGGGCCACTTGAGTGTGCGCCAAGAGATAAGCGCAATTATATGGCTTCCACAGCCGGACCCGGACATAAATGGTGGACCGCAGAGACCTCGGGACATTGGGACATTGGACATCGGACAGCGTAAACTGTATAAATTAGGTAAAAAGAGAACTTAAGGTTACTTATGTGACACGGCTTTCATTGAGACAAATGTGGGGTCTTTAAGTGCATCGACTTTTTTCGTTTCGAGCGCTTTAAATTTATTTGCCACGGATACAGAGACACTTGTGCCGAAAAAAAGGTATACAAAATATGCTGGGAAATTCCTCTAAACATCTCACATTTTGTCCTTGGTCAAGTGCTCGTTATGGGCAATTTCTGCTCAAACTGTTTTCTGGGTGCTTTTGTTTTACTTTCTTGTTTTTTGCTGACCGCATGCTGAGTGCGGCTCTTCTATTTTGTGGGCCTCCTCCATCTGAAGTGCCTTTGTGGCCAATCTCAAAAGAGGCAACTTGTCAAGCATCGGTTTTCGGCGAAACGCTCACAAGTGACCATTGAAAAGTTTACACTACGAAGTTGTCAATATGTAAGAAATATCCTTGAGTGCTGCTTATTACAAGTTGCAAGAAGTTTTGTTTTTTGTGTTTTTGGAAATTCATGCTGGTTTGCGGGCTCGAAAGTAATTTTGTTGGATATTTGAGAATGTAGAGTGGACTTTGCTTGGTTTAAGATTGTCATTTGCATATCAACCGTGTTTAATCATAAATTTTTTATATCAGGTCGATCTACAAACAAAAACTTAACAATGTATATTAAATTTTAAAAAAAAGAAACAAGCGATATTTGCTTAGCTTATCAAAGCCAAAAATCAAGTCAAATCAGACGCCTTTTCTAAAAATAAATCCAGTTTTTTTGATTGTATTAAAATTTTGTGTTATGCGATATGTTTATCCCCTTAGATTACCTTTTTATCAACCTTATATTATGACAATTTAAAATTCTCTGTAGTTAGGCTTTAACGCTTTTAAGTAATTTCAAAACTTAAGTTACTTCTGAGTCCCACGCTTTGTTTCAATTATTTGAACGAGAACAACTTCAACTTTAAAGCAAGCAGATAAAAAATAATTGTTTTACATTAATTAATTTTAGATTACCATATACTAGAACATTTTTGAAAATAAATAATTTAGCTTAAGGGAGAGAAAATAGTAATGGTTCGGATATAATTTAATGGTTTATAAAGGGCATTGCAAGGCTTAAGTAGTCCCTTAAGCTCCTGAATTTTTGTTCAGCTCTTCGCTTTCTATTTGAAGTACAAAATATTTTTCGTTTATTTACCCAACTCAGCCCGCTTCCACTCGTTTCGTCCTTTTGGCACCGTTGTCGTCTGTAGAACGCTCCTGCCCTGCCTCCACTCCTTCATGCTACTGCCTTTTGGTAAGTTCTACTTGGTCTGGGCTGGCAGTATTTTTTGTGCTATTTCCGTTCTAAGCGCTTTGCCATGCGGCGTCAAACGTCGGGCGCCAATCCTCATGTGCGTGGGTGCGTATGAGTGATTCTTTTTCTTTTCGCTCCGTCCCCCGTCTGCTTCATTCGGTTTTTCTTCGCTTTTCGTTTGGTAAATGCTGCGAAACATAAAACATCAAATGTAAATTGAAAGTCGTTCGTGTGTGAAACTGAATGTGTCATCAGTTGAAGCGTTTATCATTTTTTTTTACTGCCTTTCGTATTCGTTTTTAGCTTCATCGACCCCCCCAGCGGAAGCGGGGAGGGGCAAGATGAGGGTTTTCTTTAAGAAGTTTAGATTTTATTTGCCGGCGTGTCAAGTTGCCTTTAAACGTTTTCTCCGGCGGCATGAGGTTTGGCCGGGCTAAGATGTTTGCCTGTTAAAGAATGTGCGGAAAATCCCAGGGGAGTGCGCAATGTCTTGTAAAATCTTTTATTTCCGTCCCGAAACACGGCACAAGTAGCGGCGGAGGCATCAAATTTCTTATATGTAAGATGTAAATATGAACATGAATTTGAAAATATGAAAAGAAACAAAATTTGTGAGTTGAACCGAGAAAAGAGACTACCTTTACAAACGAGTTGTAAAAGTTAACTACCGATATCGATATGTATAGCTTCTAAGAATATGCAGAGCCTTTAATTTGTGCAAGCAAGCTTTATTAATAATGTTTGACAATTATATACAAATATTTAATACATTCCGATCCATGAAGCGTTTAAATTTGACAGCATTTCAGATTTAATCGACTGATTTCCTATTTGTATGCATCAAGTATCAAGAGAGAAAACTAATTTGGCAAAATGCAGACTTAGAGAAAACCATCAAAACAATGATGATGGCTCTCTCGGAATCGAGAGCTATTTATTATGCTTTTGCTTCTCTTCTTATTTGCAAATTATTTGAAAATTAATTGAAGGCTACAAAACCAACGAATGGTTTTATTTGCAAGTCGAACTTCGCCTTTTTGCCCTTTATTTTTCGTATTTGCCATGCAAATGTCAAGCTCAAATAAAACAATAGATGCTAAAATGCTGGTGCAACTACGACAGCTGCCAACTAGAGCTGTGGTTGCCTTTAGTCAAGTTGTCGCATTTTCCCATTTTGTTGTTCCTGCCTGGTGGCACTAACTTCATGTCAATCCTTTTGTGGCTTTGCCGGTCGTTTAATTTGAATTTAAAATGTTATCCCGCCAAATGCAATAGACACAGCTCCCTCAGACCCGGCAATCATTTTCCACTTATTTACAATTACTACATTTTATTATATACCCCTGCCAGTCAGTCAGTCAGCCAGCCAGCCAACCATCCAGCACTTAACCATTTTATTTATACCCCTGTTTATATTTGTCACACTTTTGTCTTTGTTCCGACCACCCTCAACCCCATTTTTGGGTTGTTTTTAACTGCATTTTTGTGTGTCTGTCAAATCCGACCACCCTCTCTCACCCGATCCCAAAAAAAACGAAATCCCCCAGCCAGACCTTGCAATTTCGATTGTATTTTTGTTTATTTTGTTGCAATTTTTAATTACTTTAATGAAAGTTTTAATTGCGAAATAGCAAAAACGCAGCGAGCGACAGAGGAGCACACAAAAGGGCTTAAGTTGGGGCCAGGGGGTAGTCGTAATGAGTTTTTGCGGTCTAAGAAAGGATGCCAGCTGCACGACAGCGATGACGTGAGCACACCCAACCAGGTAAATTTCTATGCCAGATGAATTTGGGGAAAAGGGTTGCAGGTGGCTGGAGAACAATGAATGGTGCGCTTGATTAACCTATTGATATCAAGAACAAAGCTGTTGGGAAAATGATCAGAGGTGATTTTATTATAATCCATGGCGTTTTATTACTTCATGTCA